CCCCATCTGACCAAGTAGACTTTATTCTAATGACTATTTCACTCGCTGGGCCCACGTCCTCATCTTAGGTTGGAAGGCGTTTTAGTAGATGAAGGTGAAAGGCTTCGACATGAACTGAGCTGCGGTCTGGGGAAGGCCTCCCGGGCCTGGCAGGCAGGGAGGGTGGGGCACGAGAACGAACAGCTCGTAGAACGGGGGGAACATAAGTAGATGAGAACCGGGAAGCCATTCATGTGTCTGAAACTGGTCCCACTCTTGTCACCAGACTGTCATCTACCTTCTGACACGACTCCAGCTCAGCTGAACTAAGTTGCCGGTGGTAGCTGATGTGGTTTTTACTCTCATCCCATTTATTTGATATCCTCTGTCCTTGCAGACTGACCTTTATGGTCTTAATAAAATGCTCTATATTGACATTAAAGGAATGGAAAGATGGTGCTGTGGCTTATGGGCAGGTGCAGGCTCAGCTCACCTTTTCACTGAACAGTGAATGTGCCCGTCCACGACGAGATTCTCATTCAAAATGCACTTCTGTCTTTTTAATTAAACTCCAGTGCAGTTTGGAGGCTATTTGACCTTTACTGCCCTATCTTTATGGGGAATGCCACAGGTCATTTCTATGCATATATTACTGGCTTACCCGCCTCCCTTTTCCTCCTGATGATCCTCGAGGCTTCACAGATTAAGGCAGGTTTGGGTCTTAAGTGTAGCCTATTTTTAATCTGCTATGTGGGGAGTGTTTTAAGGCAGGAGAGCTCAAATATTTAAGGCTTTAGTTAAAACAATTAGGGAGAGTTGGGTTTTTTAATGTCATGATAGCAACATAAAAATGCTTAAAAAATGTCAACATCAGCAGCCACCAGAGCCAATAGAGTTTTTTAAAGAGTTCCCTTTGAGTCAATTATTATTCAATATTTCAGATCTCTGCCTTTTTCTGGTGCCGCAGGCCTGAATCCAAATCAACACGTCAAGTCAGTCACTGACTGAAGGACTTGACTGGCTCCCAAAAAAATGCTGAGTAAATATTTTTTCCAAGTTATTAATTCAATTCAATGCAATTTCATTTATAGAGAAGCAAAACACAACAGCAGTCGCTTTATATTGTAAGGTAAGTTATTACAGCAAAATAAGAAAATCAAAAATAAGATTTGTTCAGTTATTCACTGGAAAACTTTTCATAGAAACAAAAAGAAAAATTGATGTTATGCATTAATACAGAAAAACAAAGATACAGGTCAGTTTAGTATGAGAGTAAATGTGTAAACAGACACACATTTATCTGTGCACGATGTACAAATTTGTGATTATTTCTCCTTTGTTGAATCAGAATATTTCATTAATCCCAAAGAAAATATGTGGTTACAGTCGCTCCAAGACAATAAGAACAGTAACAAACTGAAATAGATTATAGACGATCCTGAGCAGCGTCCGACAGATGTTCAAAGATCTCAGACGCCTCCAAAAATAGAGACGAGTCCGGGCCTTCCTGTAGGGGGCAGCGGT